ATTGTAAGAACAAAGCACAATACGCAAAATTTTGCTCAATCCCAATGGTTTGAATGAGGGCCAGATTTGTCCTTCATGGAGGGGCAAAAGATAGGCTACCATTTTGGCACACTTTGGTCATGTGAAAAGGTGAAATCCTCCGAATGGACTTCCGAGTCGAATTTGGTGTATGAAAAGTGAAAAGTGTGTGCGCAACGTGCCTGAGTCAAAGTTACACTATTTTTGCCTGAGTTGCATTCTCTCGTACTGTCTCGTAGTAGGAGTAGTAAATCTATCAAAGATCGTGTAGATCTAGAGAATCTTTGGTAGTAGTAGTAGGCAGTTTAGTGAACGTTCACACGGCAGGGGGAATCGACCTCGTAACGCCCCGTAGACTTTTGTGATCGGCCACGAAGCCTCGTGTTTTGATGGGTCTAAGCAACTCAGTTTTGTTAATGGCACTGCCACATCCGACAGGCCTGCATCTTTTTAAAAGGAAAAGAAAGATTATCAAAATGGTCGTCTTCGCGTGAAAATCGATTCGGTAGAACTGGAAATATTAACATTTGCTTCTGAAAACAAGGCATTTTTTCCACGCGATGAAATAAGAACTAGATCTAGACCTACTGGCTCTGTTATTCTGTATACATGCATAAATTATGAAACTTCAAGACATCTTTTGACGCCTGAGCTGTATAGGTTGAAGTTTTCACAACGCTAATACTAATAGGGCTTTCCGTAAAAATGCACAGATCTACAAAAGCCGAACCACCGAATCGACCGGTCAGCGACCCGGGCCGGGCACCCTGCTCTCCTCTGCACACTGTGCGTAGTGCATAGAATTCTACACTTAGTGTAGAATTCTGTGGCGTAGTGTGACAACGTGTTGCTTCGGCATCGCATTATTCAACTAGATTTCTATTAATACGTTCGGCTATGGCAATTGTGATATAGGCCCCCTGACTGATCAAACAATTCACAGTTTTGTTTTCATTTTACCATATATTTGACTTTTGAATAGTGCAGGTGATAGCTAAATCTAGATTCCCAGTCTAGAATCAGTGGGCTAGAAGCAGCCAGAGAGCCTACATCTGCTAGATCTAACTTATTTTTATGTCTGTATAACCCCCTTGCTTTGGGCTTTGGAATTGAAATAAAACGATTGGACCAGTTCTAGTTAATTTTAGATTCAGTTTCTAACTATATTTTCCAGAGTTAATAATAATAACAAATCTCACAATAACAATCACTTTTACTTTTATTAGATACAACTTATTTCCCCCTAAAATCTGTTTTGCGCAAACTTACTAGATATTATAAATTCTGGTAGAGAACAGAGATTCTAAGCATATGCTCAGTCTTTCAGTAGGCCTACATAATAATTTTATGTTACCATTTTCTGGATATTTTTACAGTAGCAAATTGTGCCATTTTCTTTGACAAGAATAGCATTAGCAGTGAACTTTTTAGACAGTGAGTCTCTGACTCAATTTTTTTTTAAATTGTGCTAATCAATGAAACTTGCTAATTGATAATAACTGAAAACAACAGTTGTCATGAACAGTAAAGAAAAATGCGTGAAAAAAAAATAGATGAGGTCATAATTTGTTTTAAAAATTGCAAGTGCAAGTGAAGATCACAGAATGATTTTGTTGTTTTCTGGTCATCTTTCCGCGGTTTATTAAAATGTTCCAGTGGGCCTACTACTATGTCTCTGAAGAACATTTTGCTTGATTTTGTAGTTGAAAGTATAAAATATAGTTTCACACAAATGTATGTACAATACTTTGAAAAAGAAGAATAAGGAGCTGACTTATGATCATTGTTTGTTTTGTCTTTTAAGGAATCTGTTTTCCGTTTAAAAAAGCGCTAAAAACAAGTTTTGAAATTTTAAGAATGCCCATAAGATTAGGAAACTATTACCTTGTTGGCTTACTCTTTAATAATCGTGAGCAGTTAAGAAAAACAAAGAGAATGATGTAGGGTTTGTCTAAATATGACCATTAGCAGTAAAGATATTGCCAATTGTGTCCGATTATCCTTTCGGGTGATTTTTAAAACCACCCTGTACTGTATCCCTATAAGTACAAAAATATATACATTGTATTTCTATTACTTTGTAAAGAGGTGTTTTGTAGTTGTGTGCATTCTATGTAAAATTCTCAACAATAAAGTCCATCTGGACCGTACAACTCAGATAGACACTCACGAACTCAATTAACGTTCACGCACTTTGATCTACACACATTACACACACACACTCACAACATACAAACACACTATTATATTTACTCTCTCTCACCACAACCACACACACAAACACACACACACACACACACACACACACA